AATATTTTAGCTTTCCCGAATCTAAATGTGTTACTCTATGTTGAGGTGGATGTCAAATGTGGAAACAATATCGAACGTTTTACCTAACTGCATTCACTTCGAGTTTTCTAACAGCCTGTAGAGTGATATTTATGTTCAGGCATATAAGTGTTTCTTCATAAAATAACTATTAGAGCCAAGTTATTATAATGATAATAATGGCAGTAACGCTCTTTACATCTGATCATGTAATGAGCACGCATAATATAAATTCTGAGTCACAAAATGGTTGTTATTAGTATATTAAGGTAGAATGGCGACGAATGTCGAAGTTCCCTCATTGCTCTAAGTTGACGCCTGAGGCAAAGCTGAGGGCGTCATGCACGTAGTGGCGTACTTTCGACTTTCGTCTCGCGTACCATATACTATTTTTCTTGCTCCTCGGTGGAAACTAGCCGGGAAAAGTATAACGTTTTGAATCAGCTGACAGTCAGTGACAAAATCAAGCTGTCAGTGTGCGTGACGAAAGTTATTACTTTCCACACGGGATGAAGAAAATTTGGAATGGGCAAAAGTGATGCTTTCGCCATCAAAAATATTGACTAAACTACGTACTTTCCACCAGGAGATCTAGAAAATTAAATTTTCTTCATCCCTTGTGGAAAGTAATAACTTTCGTCACGCACGCTGACAGCTTGCCTTGCTCGTTTGTCACTGACTATTATGACAACATTATGAAAATATATATTATAATTTTCCTGGCTAGTTTCACCGAGGATCAAGAAAAATAGTATATGATACGCGAGACGAAAGGCCGYCACTGCGTGCATGACGCCCGAGGCGAAGCCGAGGCTATCAACKTCTAGTAGTGGCGRAACTTCGACTTTCGTCTCTTGTACGGTAATATACTATTTTTGGTGTTTTGAGTTTTAAAGCTTCTCAAATTATAAAAAAAATTGTAGGTGTTRATATAATCAACTACTTTCATCTTTTATTATCTCAYTCGTCTTTAGGAATGTCTTTAAAACATTTTCTTTCCTAGATATTTCTTCACTTCTAGTGTTCAAAAGACYAGTWTMWGWTGAAAACACATACTTTRATATAATAATAATACTTTAATCTGTTCATAACTTATAGAGTAAATGCCTTTGAAAACGACTGAATTAACAAAATTCAAAACAATTAGTGATTGATGATTTTGCTATACTTACTTAAACGTGATTGAAGACGGTGGAGTTTTTTGGTCTTGATGATTCCTAATAAAACTTATGCAACTTCGGTTAATTTTCGTTTCAAAATTAAACAAACTTCATAAAAACCAAAACAGAATAATTTATTACTATTATTATTTTACAGGTAACATTTTAATTATTTTATCGCAGAAACTATGTGCTGGCTTGACACTGAATTTTTTAGTTTTCATAATTCTGTCTGTAAGTCAAATATATGAATTTGATTTAATTCATGAAAAACTGCGTACATTTAAGTACAATTATTGTTACTTTGCTACACAGCGTTAATATTTTTACTTCTAAGCTGAAAATGCTCTCCAATAAACAATATAAAAAATATATTATGGTTTTTGTAAAATATACTAATATGTTAATAATGTCTGAGTTACAAATGTTTAATTATGTATACAATTTAAAATGTTAATCACAATTGATTTGAGTTTTTTAAATCTCAAAATGGTGCATTTTACGAAGAAAACTTGTTTTATGTTAAATATAAGCGGAAAAGCGATGCTTATTTGTAGCAATTGATTTTTTACTTAAGAATATTATACGTTAAGGGCGCCGTTGACAAAATTGAAGGAATCCGTTGCACGTTGCGATTAAAAAAAAAACACAATTACCGAAAATTTAGCATACACCAATATTTTATTGCCTTTCGAAGTGCGATGCTCTTTTCAATTCTTCAATAATATATGGAATATTTAATATGTTGGTGCCTATATATAGAATGACGGTAAAGTAAATAAATAAATAATAATTAGGCTTTCTGAATTAATAAGACAAAATCAATTTTACTCTCACCCAGTCTTGCGCGTATATTTTCGTCAATGTATTTACTATTTTGGTGTTCTAGAGATAGAATATCATTGCTTTTTTGTGATACGTTTGTGAAGCCTTTGAATAATTTATTAGTTGTTGAAGAACTGCTTTATAAAAATTGGAAAATACATCTTGGCAATTTCGTACTGATTAAATGGAAATTTGGTACTGTTAGATAATAAACCCTTACGTCTAGTTGTGGATGATTTTGAAGCGGCTTTCCTTTCCTACAGTTTTTCGAGACGAATAGTATTGCCAAGGGAAATGAAAACTGGAGTTAATGAAAACGATATATTATAAATGTCGCAATTCCCGTACTTTCGTGTTTTCTGCGCTATCCTGTGTAATAAACGTGTTTCACAACGTGCAATCTCATATCGATTTCCTATTATGAACACCTTTCATCTCAGGGAAATTAAGACTTTGTTTATAGGCTAATAATGGCAAGAAACTAAATGAAAACTAAAAATAAATTTTGTATTTTTTACCAGTGAATATATGTTGATGTGATGATTGGATGGATTCAACTGTCATTTTCTAGGTTTGATAAGCAATAAATGAATCATAAATTGCTAATAAACACAATAAAGAAAATTCGAAATTATTACATTCGATTTAAACCAACGATTCGATTGACCGCAAAATATTTGAAAAATAAAATTTGTATCATAAGAATATTGAAAATTCAATTGAACAACTCATTAAAAGATGAAAATATATTCAAAATAATAGAACAAATTTATATCAAATGTATTAAAAGATCAAAAATGTTTTGCAAACAAAGTGTTGTTGTCACATTCTCATACAATTGTTTTTAAAACCCCCATATTCAATCCTTAAACAGTTGCAATATAAGAAAAGCAAGATTACTTCATTTTTGTAAAAATAGAAGAAATTTTCAACACTAAAATTTTTAATTAAAAACACCTATTTATTTCATTGGGTCTGATCAATAACCAACCGGGATCAATAGGTATGCAAAATAGACAAACAGTAAACAAAACATTGAGACAGAATTAAAAACTGTTTGACAACAATAACAAGCCAACGTTAATTCCATTTAAAACTGTCCACAACATTTAAATCTGTTTTATAAGTGAAATGAAATCCATGGTGAAACCTTCCAGTATTTTATTTTATTCTACACCTCGACGAAGGAAGGTCGGAAATATTTTTAAGGACGTACCTAAAGAATTTCAAGGTTTAAATATCAGTTGCTCTTAAAAAATCAATAAATCACATTAATAATATTCAATACATAAGCGGAAGGACGAACACATTGTCATTGTTTGTTCGAATGGCCGCAATTTGATTAACGTTGAATAGGTTTTTCTAAAGCCACAGCCAAAAATTGGGGCGTTTTTTAAACAGATGTTCTCAACGGTTAATATTAACTGCTTAAAGAATTTTCAAAAAATATTCACTGTTATTGACTAAACGATATAACCTTTATAGCTTTTCAAAAAAAATGTGTTAAGTACGCAGCTAGTAGTAGGATAGTTCAAGCTTAAGTCACAAACAACTTAGTATAACTCGAACTTAATAGCTTCATGTCCCGCAGTTGCACTTGAACTTGAAAAAGTGTAAATTTGGCAGCAAGTATAAAAGTGCACGTAAGTAAAACTAGTGAAACAATTTACAAATCCTTATAATTAAATATGCCTTGTTCTCTTACCACAAAAGTAAATGCTATTCAGTTTCCGATTCTCCTTCCTGCTTTATAACGTTGTAGTTGGACTTCTTCGTTTTCAGCATTCTCAAGAAGGAGCCAAGAGCGAATATGGACCTTCTATGCCTTTGGAAAATTTCAGAATAAAGAGTTTCTCTTAAAACTTTTCGATCGAGCTCTCTCGACTTTATTTGTGGGGGTGCGGAAGGAGCTGGAGGCACGCGGCACTCCATGCTGGATTGACTCGGAGCCGTTTTGGCCGAAATGTTTCCAACTTTTTGACACAATCTAAAAGCGGCACTTTATTTTATTACGAGAGTACTGTTTTGTATTTGATTTCCGACACCTATTCCGGATTCATAAAATGGGTCCTCTCACTTTTAGATGTATGTAAATATGCACTTATTGCGACGAAGGCCGGCCTATTTTCGAATGTTTTTCGACCTCTGTTCATTCACTAGTGCGTACTGAAGTTACTGTCTTCGCACGATTGACTGTTCACGTACACTAATAGTCTGCGACTGTTTGAGGAAATCGCGAATCAAGCAGTATGTTAATGTTTTCCGTATCACCAATTAGCGAAGCAACAAGGTTGATTAAGCCGCATGAATTTGCAAAGAAATTCGGAGCATGTATATGTAGAGCTTTGACTTTGTAAATATATAAAAAGCAGTGATTAGAGTGCAGACTTTCGAACAGTACACCCTGTAAATATCACAGAACTTTAGATTCAAATGTAAAAAGCGCAAAGGCGGTGGTTTTCTTCTACTATAAAGGCAATTTTAGATACGTATGTTTCTGGCGAGAAATTCGTGCATTTACATTCAACACAAACTGCATATAAATACGAAACACCTTAAAACTTAAAAAATCCAATTACTTTTCTAGAACTACAACCTTCTCACAGCTGAGATTCTTCACATCTGGATTTATTTACCACGTTGGATAAATAATCAAAATACTTTCCGAAAAACTCTTCGTACAAATCTTCTTCATCCAAACGTTCCAGGATTTTATCTCTTTTATTTCTCTTCAGAAAGCTCTTGTTGCTTAAAAACTGGTCACTCTGCCAAAGGCTCTGAAGAAGCTTCTCAAAGTCCTTAACTGTCGATGTTTCCCTTATCTGCTTTAGAAACTTATTGGAAACTTCCGAGTTGGTATACTCAGTTACCGAAGTTTTCAGAGAATTTTTGTAAGTTTGAACTTTTGGTGACTTTCCGCGAGGCTGACAAGGTTTGTGGACGATAAGCGATACTGCCTGCTGCTGCTCAATAGAGTCGATTTTAAGAGCTCTTCGACTTACAGCTTTAGATGGTTGATATTTGGCTTTGGGTTTTTCAGGCGACAAGAGTATAATTCTATTACCAGTTAGCTCTAGGTTATTCGGATTGTAGACTTTGTCGCTCTTGGTGCTAAGAGCACTTTTTCTCATACTCTTTTTCTGACAATTCTTGATTTATACTCCTGGCTCAGCAATACCTTTCAACACAATCTGGATCTCAACGAATTGAAGCGACTTAAGTCATGTTTCCTTCTCTTCAATGCCAACAACTTAAATGATCTAATTCCGCACAGGTGTTGGCGGAAAAACAATCAAAGATATACAATTTCTCAGGTCCTTTTGCGTAAGTTCAATCAGTCTCACAAAATTGGTAGATTTCACTCAAAAATAACGCGGAAAATCAATGTAAACAAGACAGAGAATTGTCATCAGACTATCGAGAACGTCGAGTTGTGAAAGCAGAAAAGTTCAGTCGGTTACTGGTGGGAAAAGCGATCCAGCTTTGGGACGATCGATAGCGTTGGACTGGAATGCAGAAACGGATCGGACAGGATTTCCATAGGACAGCAAGAATCGCTTGTTCTATCCTAGGCATTGTGCAATTTTGGCTTTTCTATTGCAAACCTAAGTTTACCATTCGAATGACAATACTTTTTTGAATCACTGATACCGGTAAAAATTTCACAAGACATCAAGGTTGATGGTTTTAGCGGGTCAACAGGTCAAGCATTTTTTTGTAAATTGATTTATTTAATAGACACACTTAGATGTGTGCTCTATTGTAGACCGGAAGAAAATTTCTACCCTGCCTCTCAAATGCTATTCATTTTTAAATAATTGATCAGCGCTTTGGTTAGATATATTTCCTGTATTCTACATTTGCTCTGCCCTATGAAAAATTCTATGCAATTGAAAGGCGGTTAATATTTTGCTTTATTTTACGAATATGCTTGAATCGTGATATAAATTAGCTCAACGTCTACTGCTAGCTCCATTTTGTACATTTTTCAGGTGAAGAGTTGATAGAGCTCAAAGTTATTAATATAGACATAAAACAAATTAATTCTATGTCGAAAGTATAAAATAAAATAAGAAATAAACAAAAGCTAAATAATGTAAGCGCTTAATAAATATATGCCAAATATAACACAATCAACTGTACTTACTACCTTCAAAAACGTTCATACTGAATTTATTTCATCTTAAATATTTCCCACAATTAAAATTAAATAAGAAATTGTCGTGTATTTACTTGCTTTTGGGCTGCAATTTTTCTTTTTCAAAACTTCAGATATACATATTTGTTATTTGGGTCTTTTTTTCATTCCGTGATAGACAGTTTTGCATATGCATTTTATAACCAAGGATAACCAAGGAAAACCAAAATGCTGTTAAAATTCTAGATAATTTTAATTATGTGGCTTGGGTTATTATTTCGAACATTTAGAACCGTTTCACTCGAGCTCAGGTAGTTGAAAATTGTATTCACGTCAACAGAAATGTTTTAGACCTGATAATAATACGAGAAAACAATGCTTTTGTTGTTTGCATATCTATGTTTTGAAAAGAACTCCCGTTTCCGTTCCGTCTTAAATATACTGGGCTTTCCAGTATTAATCGCGAAGAATTTGCGCTTCGGAGGCTGGTTGATTTAGAAATAAATCGAGGGCCTTGCTTCTTAATTAGTAAGTTAAATGTTCCTTCAACAAAGATAGTGGTTTTTTGACTTGAAAATGAAGGTTTGTATTGGTTTGTGAATCCTTCATTAACACTATACAGATATATTGCCTGATTGTCAAGGTAAAATGATCTGCTTTGACCTAAAAAGTTTAGAGACATATTTAATCCGTATATTATCGTACTTTTCAGTACAAAATCATAATTTAAAAATTCGATTTTTTCAAGACAGCTGAACTCTAGCAAATACCCAGCGCATTTTCTGTTTTCAAAATATTGCTAACAGTTGCGGAGTTATGGGTAAATAACTGTACAAACAATGTGGGTGGCAGTTTAAGGTTCTCAATCTTTAAATTCCATTTTCTCCGAAACTATATACGAAAATCATGTTAATGGAAAGGTTCGTTTTGGTCTACATTCGACTCGCAAGTGAAGAATTGCACATTTGCAATTTTCAAAAATTTCCAAAAAAAAATGTTTATTGCAAATTTTTTTTTGTAAACCATTAAGTTGCTCCTGCAATTACATTTTGGAGTTATAAAATCATGATGTGTCCCCAAACTTGCAGTAAAAGAGCGTGTTTCCAGGAACAACCAGCGCTTAGATCTTGAAAATTTAAACTCCCCTGGAGCTAAAACGGCGACCAAAATGAACTTTGGCCCTGCAACAGCTTTTTACGCCAAGTCTATGGGCTTTTTAAAAGTTTCAGAGCCCATTTGGTTCCAAACTGTTGCAAAAACAAATTTTCTAAAAAAATAGACAGTGTCTGAATCTGATGTTCTATTTTAAAAATGAGTTAATCGAGGTAAAAATTCAAAGTATTTTGTTCGGACAATCGTCTTTTCGACCTTCAAATCATCATAACTTCCAAGTTGTTCAACCGATTGCAATTTTCCGAGAAGCAGATTTTTGTTTTTATAGAAAATCGTCAAGGTACGAGATATTTCATGTCAATATGAATTTTTCATTGAATTAATTGAATTAATTCATTCAACAATTGAAATTAATTTCTCAAGTGCTGTTTAATATTTTATGAAGTAGCACCAACAGGAGCATAAAGTTACTTTAGTTTTGTTCATTTTAGGTAGGTATTTGTTAAATCTACACGTGTTTGGGAATTTGTGACGTTTTATTTAATCGGAATTAATACAATTTCAATGCTTTTAGCTTATTAATTTATAGTCAGTAACATAGTTAGTTTACAACACACCATTTGGTTTTTAAGCCTTTTAAGGTGCATCATAATTTTAAATCTCTTGTATTATATATTTTTATTCATTTGATTCATTTTATTCGAACACTTTGGATACAAGCACGTGTTGGTTATCTAATTATTTATGTAAGATATCGACAGCAGGGTTCAAACTGTACACTTATTATCATAAATATTTTAAATGTGAAAGGGAAACACTTATGCATGCATAATTGCAACTATTCACGGGTTAAGGGTAAAATTGACTGAAACTCGTTTCCCGTCTAGTGGTGTTAAAACATGTTACTATACAACAATTTGTTTGCACAACTTGACTTGCTAGAAGAAAACACACACAGAGACAACACAACTACAGAAAAACAAACAATAAACCTACTTCTTAATCGACATTTTCTTCTCAAATATATATTCCATGTTTGATGTCCGTATTTATGACGATTTGTTCTGTTGGAAGTAAGCAAAAACATGTTTTCGAGTGTAATGTGAGCTACTTTCGCATCAATTATTATATTGCAATACAAAATTCATTTGTTTCGCTTTTATTAATAGAATGTGTGAGAAGTTTTATGATGCTCGCAGTAAAAAATGTCCTTAATGGAAATATTAACGAAGTTACACCCACCACGTAAAAATCAACAAGTCAATCAAATAAATCTCAGTCAACTGAAACGCAATCCGACAGCAAACATGTCGTATATAATAATTTAACATTTGCTCCTAAGAAATGTCTATTTGCTAAAATGTTATCTAGATGTTCACTAATCAACGATTACCATGGTGTGTATTTTGATTTATTTTTCTGACTGCGTGTAGTTGTTATTATATTTTTTCTTTCCTGGGTTTCAGTCAAAATGTGAAATAAAAATGTTTAATTTCATATTACGTTTCGGCGAGACAACAGCGCCATCATCAGATTAAAATTCAAAACAAACCCATAATTGGGCACATTTGATTTTTTAAATGCTTGGCTGCCTTCAAAACTTCATATTTGTTTCTATGTGTGTGTATATTTAAACTTGGATTCTTTTTGAATGCAGTAATAAAGGTTTTCCCAGCCAAGAACATGAATTGTAATCAATCCCCTTCTAAGAAGACAATGCCGCTTTTAATTTTCCCATATTATATCCATATTTAAGACATCTTAATAAAGTGCAAATAACTAGGATTTGCTCGACAAATATGTGAAATACTTTAAACAAAATGACGCACATACGCCACTAAAATTAGCAACAATTTTATTTCAGTACTTAGGCTGCCGAAAAAACTTATACAGTTCATTTATTTATAGAACTTTCATTCAACTTGACGGCTCCGTATTAATCTCTAAAAAGCTCTTCAAGTATTTAGTGGGATCCATTCGTATTTGAAGATATTGCGCGTCGCCGCGCCGAAAATAGTCGAAAATTCCACATTTTTTGGAGCCTTCTGTTTTATTAGCATTGATACGAACAAAAAATTCGTCTGATTGGTTGAAGGTTTGGGAAAATATTAATAAACTAGTATCTATAGGACAGTTGCCACCACATTTTTTTAATATTTGACGGCACTAATTATATACTTGGAAAAAAGATGGGGTAATAATAGAAACATCTGTTCATTCTTTCGTAAGCAATACTGACATTTTTTTGGAAAAATTCACTTTTTATTTAACCGCTTCTAATTGCTTTAAAATGCTTATTCAAGAAGTTATTTTAAATTGATTTACCTATACTAAATCTCCCTAATTTCTCATATTTTTAAAGCTGATATATTATTCTCGCACGGTCTCGTCCTAAGAAATGAAAGAGGCGACCGGTTACTACGGTTTTGCCAAGAAAATAAACTTGCCATTAAAAACAATTTCTATAAACTGCCTAAAAGACGCCTGTCCACCTGGAAGTCACCGGGAGATTCAGAAAAAAAATGTCATCAGAAATCTAATGGACTATATAAGTATAAACAACAGATACAAGAACACAATTACATCGGTGAAATCTTACCCAGGAGCAGATATGGGGTCAGATCACACGCATTGGTCGCCCAATTCCGAATGAGGCTGAAAATAATTGAAGTAAGAGTTAAAAATAATCGAAGTAACAGAACTTAGTAGTGATGGACATTGGAACAAACTTTTGGAACTCTGTTAAAACCGGCAAAAACACCTGGAAAAGGAGACGCCAAGGAAGGAAAAAGATTGGATGACTGATAAAATATTGACACTCATGAATACAAGAAGAACATTTAAGGACAAAGAGAAAGATCAATACAAACAAGTCAATATTGTAATTAAGACAAGATCCGAAAAGCAACAACAATGGCTGGAGGACAAATGTACGGAAATCGAGGAACTCGCAACTGAATATGACTCATTTAATATGTATAAGAGAGTGAAAGAACTTAGCGGTGTCAAGAACAGAAAACAAGTATTGTGGTTGACATAAAAGAAAAACTGAAAATATGGCAATAATATGTTGAAGATCTATTTGAAGAAGAGACATCCACCATGCTTTGAAAACTTACAAGAGGAGACAGGACCAAGAATAGCCGAGGAAGTGTTTCATGCTATCAAATCGTCGAAGAACCGGAAATCACCGGGACCAGACGAGATACCGTCAGCTACTGAATCTGATACAGGCAGATCAGATGCCTGCAGAGCCACTAGTGAAGTTATCAACAAAATCTATGAATCCAGCATAATACCGCAAGACTGTCGGCGTTTGTTACCCTACCGAAAGTCGAAAAATCGAAAGGATTTAAAAAAGCACATGCCAGGCAATGCAGCGACTATCGCACAATCAGTGTGATGAGACACACAGAAGGCATTTGAAAAAGAGAAGAATATATTATTCTGATTGTACCTTGTACTTTCATGAACAAAAAATGTATAATTATTACTACTACTGAATTAGCCTCTACATTTTTATGCTACTTTTAATCGCTTCATTATTTTTATTTGCAACTTTCGTGTGCATAGCTTTAACTGATCATCTTATTGCATCGGGTTCATTGCTCATATTAAAATGTGTTTGCCTACTTTCTAACATTGCCAAAGGTGAAATGAAATAAAATCAATAATACGTAATTTTTGATATTCTGGGATGAAGACGTAAAAGAAACCGGCAATCTAATAAATAGTTTTAATTCTGAATGGGACACATGTCGTGATTTTTATATGAATCGTCATACTTTTAAGAGTTTAAGATCAATTCACTCAATGTTAATAGAAGTCGTAAAGTGAAATATAGAGGTCATATGAGTTGAGATATTTTGTTAATAACTGCAAGCCATTTTCGTGGGCTGGTCTATCTGTTTACATGAACATCAATGTTGAAAACCAGACGCAGCAGAAACGCCAAAATAACGATGTTGACCTACTACAATATAAAATCTAAATTTGGTTGATAAACAATACATTTATGTATTTTCAAACATGTATTTTTGGAAAATCGCAGTGAATATATATATTTTTATTCCGGTAGGAACAACATGCGTTTCAAATTTGGATCCTTTCCAAAAACGTTGGAATTTGATTTCGAACCTGAAATGCGTTTTGGATGTAATCGGGTAAAACTATGCCGATACGCACTTAAATAACGACGTGTACGTAGTGCAAACGTTATTTATGTTAAAATGTGAAAATTCAGAGTAAATGATAAGTAGTGATAGAACTGATATAAGATGTTTCAACGCCAACATGTAATAACAATTAAGAAAATAAATATTTAGGAAAAAACTTCTTTTTAGATATTTGTAAATTGACTATCGCTATTTATTTGAAAATTGATGCATGAGATTAATTTTGTCTGCGCCATTTCTCAATAGAGTCGATAATTAAATTATCCAAATTACGAAAAACAACGCAACATAGTTTTGATACGAAAATACTATTTAACTATTTTTGAATACGGAATTTTCGATCTTTCTATAACCGGCAATCTATTGAATTTCTATTAACATTCATTTACACTTTCCGATAGGTAGAGTTTAAAATTTAAATCAAGTCATATACATAAGAAAGAAGAAAGTTGCTCAAAAAAGTAGAACTGCAAAAACTCCAGAGATCTAGCCGGAATATTTCATTATCATAACTTTAAGACTCATTGAAACATTTGATGTTATTTCCATTTTCCGATAAAGTTAAGCCGTCATACATAGATTTTACGAAACTTCACTTAAACCGGGTGTGTACCGGGACCAACCAGCTTGTATACATGAATGCTCATATTTTGAAGACCCTGTACGATAGATATACCAAGAAACTATTTATATAAAAAAACTCTTGCTGGACATCGAAAAAATGAACCGATTTCCCGGAAGCATGCCGCTATTATTTCACTTTTTAAGTGGAAGTTGGTTTAACATGAGCCTCTCGTAGCAGCATAAAACTTTACACTTCCATCATTTCCCCCATAGTTTTTACGGGAGTCAAATCCAATAGATTTAAGTAGTCGGGAGAGCGGGGCGGCTAAATCACAGGTCGAAGGAGAGAAGTTTACCGACCCAGTAACTTGAAAAGCATTGAAAATTCACATAAAAATATTTGATATGCTAAAGAAATCGAATTAGTAATGTGATTCAACTGAATTAGTAATGTGATTCAACTGAATTAGTAATGTGATGACAAATTCAACATTTTGAAAATTATTTTCAAAAATACAGTTTTACGAGGAAAATTATATTTTTCTGAAAAACGATTCATTTTTTCGCTTTCAAGCAATTGTACCTAATTTTCGTCTAAGCATCAGGCGATTTAAAAATAGCATTTATCCTACAGGGCGTTAAAAATATGAGCAAGAATACTTAGAAACTCCTCTGGCCCCTCCTCTTCCTGTACGCCTCTGCCGTACTCAAACAACAAAATAAGTTTGAAGTACACTATTTTAAAGGGCCTTAACTAAATCGAATTATTTAAAAAAGTAAATAAATTATATCGAGAACCTTAAACGTTATTTAATAAAAATTGGTTATGAGCGGCGCCCTTCAAGATATAGGGCATATCTTCGCAGAACCTGTCTGTAGAATTATTTATATGAACTTGTCATGTTATTTTTACACCCTGTATATTGGAAGCATTTTAGCACAGCTGGAGCTGATGTTAGTCTTTTTTTGCGAATACTTATTTTAAGATTCATCATCATAAAATTAGCATGTAAATAATAAAATAATGAAAACTAGATTGACTTTATGCAAATGTTTCAGACGGACGGCAGCAGAAAATTTTAAAAACAAAATTCAGCTTAATTTGATAATCACATATCTATTTAAATTGTTTCAGCTTAGTTGTACCAAACAAATTTAAATTTGAACTAGTCTTATCATTTATAGCCAAACTCGAAGATTAAAATTATATTTGATACGTTTTAGTTGGAAAATCAACGTAAACATATTTACATATTGACATATTTGTGAACGCAGTAGTAACGCAATAACAAACGTAGAATGTTTGATATTTTGCAAGCAATGTGTTGGTATCGTCAAAATGAAGAAAGTTGCCCTGTATAAAAAATGACAAAAATATCCTGGCGGTTTCAAATTTCGACAATTGACATCGATTTTTAACTTGTTATTAATTAACTGGAAAGCCTGTGGGTATACAAATGATAATACGTGTTCACTAACACTTCATGTTTATGGTAGATACACTTATAATAGATTATTTATGGATACCTAGGTATATTAATATTTACATTAATTCAGGATATGGCGTTTGGGGAAAATACAAAAGTAGAATATTCTTTGCAAAATTCAAGAAATGATGATTCTCAACTAGATAAATAATCAATTTAAATCCTGTTTCAAAGAATTGACCTCAGATGTTTCTAAAAATTTTATCACAGAACGGTTTGGAAATATTTTCGATTCGTCAAAACACCTTAATTGGATCCCGTCCAATATTAATCCCCGGACTATTTCTTAGAAATTCCCTAAACAATTACATTTTAAATTTCATGATTTCTAATATCTAATGGTATTTTAAGACACTGGCAATTCCCACGAACAGTTATTTACGCATTCTGGAAAATGAGTCTAATCTTGATTTCAACAGGCAAATAAAACCGTAAAATTCGTTGAACGATCGCAATAAATATGATTTCTTACTAAAAATCATTTATCGCTTTCGATGCATGTGAAATAAAGTTTGATAATTTCGAATTTCCGGCGTAATAAACATCACTTTTAATTACTGTTGGAGAAACAGTTTTAACTTTAAATGTTTGTTTAAAAGCCATTGTCTTGATTATTTCGTTTGAAACAGAAAACATACAAAATGACATTAAAAAAACCTGAAATTGTTGTATTTTAGGATCGACAAATGCTAGTCGAATTGTTTAATTACCGCAGTGCTATAAATTAGAAATTTTAGATACTACTAACATTCAAATGAACAATTAATAAAAATTACAAAGTTGAAAAAGTTGGTTTCTTCGATTGTAGAATTTTTCTAATCTTGTTTATTTTCTGCATATTACCAGCTTTTAAAAAAAATGACCCTGTGTATACTTAATATGTGTATCAGTCAGGTAGAAAACAGCTTTTTATGACAATATAAATTCCGAAACAGACAACAAAGCCCGTCTGTCCTTTTGTCTGCCTTTTATTTTTATTATTTTTGTTGGTGTCAAGTAAATGAAACGTGAAAATGAAAATAGCGTAAATAAATACAATCTGATATCGTCTTCAGGTTAACACGCAATTCAATTTATGGCCATAAAGCAAAACAGGCAAGACTTATAAATTATTAAAGTAGAAATTATCCGCTATGGACGCAGCAAATAAATATCAACCGCAATAACAAAACTCGTATTTTAATTGAAATATCGTTATATTAAAAAGTTTTACCTGGTTATGATACTGCTTTACACGGTTAGTAACTGGTAGCATGCTAACATAAATGGCTTTTTGAGGTAAAGTGAATTCCTATGCAGAATCAAACGTTAATCATTCGTCGAACATAGAAATAAGGTCAAAGGGTACCACTGTAAAATAAGTAAATAGGGAATTATTTTAAATATTAATTTCTTCAATCTCCGTAAAAAATTACATGTTTTCAGATATACAAAATCAAACGTTATTCATTCATTCGACGACTATAGAAATAAAGCAAAAATGTATGGAAATTTTATTTAATTCATTTATTTGCGACCAACAGTTATTTACCATGTGAACATCGATCCGCAAATTGTGTTTTAACATCTTCGTATAGGAAGATTTAAATACCTATGTTATTGCTTAGAAAACTGCTGGCAGGAGAACGTCCTATTTAACGTCACATACATTTCAGACAAATCCTGAACAAATTCTACAAATAAGCAGCTTTTAAACATACATTTCGTGAATATCCGTAAAAAGTATATAATTAGCATGTTTTTAAAAACCAGTCTGTAAAATAAAACAGTTACATAAAAGTCGATTAGGTAAACACCCATCAGACGACAGAGCTCAATTTATTGCGGTCGATCTCCCAATGGAAACCTCACTTAATTTTATCATTATCCAGTGCATGTTCTATTATTTGCAATTGATCTTCAATCGCGACAATTTCAAATTTGTTGTTTATCTCGCTTTTGTTCAAGTCACATGGGTTTTGCGTAACAATGTCGACGTTGAAATATTTAAATGCAGTAGCGTAGATACAGCAAATATTATGCTACGAAAATATTTTCATAAAATTAGACATGAAACAAAAAATAAATAGACGATGATCGAAGAAGAATGACAAATGTTTCAAAATTCGTTAAACAATGCTATGAGGCGTTTGCTATTCGTGAGAGATTTAAAAAATTACCTTAGAAAAAATTGGTTCAGTTGCAACTACGCGCATTTTTGAAATTGTTGAGCAATAAAGCGATAACTGTTTATTAACTACATTTTATAGTCATTCAAGTTACGACAATTCTTCCACTTTCCCATGAATCGCACTAAAAGTCTCTTATGTCATTTTACTTGGAATCCTTCTAGTTGAAAATGCCAATAGCATTATAATAATTCATCACGTAAGGTAACGATGCAATCATCAATCTTAGTCGGGTTTGAAACTTCACAAATCAGAAAATTTCCATTTTTCAAAGTTTATCAGAAAAAATTGTCTTAGCTACCGTGCGAGCTGAAATACGTCTTTGCAAAAGAACATAAAAACTTTTAAATGAGCTGTTCTTGATACTTTGACTATATTTTATACTGCGTATTAACGCTTCCAACTTCGACAAAATTGGATAACTTTTGGGATTTTTAAATCTTATGTTTGCTTTTATATTTGTCTGTTTATTAATAAATTATAGCGAAATACCTATTGAAATAACCACAATGATTCATATAATAAACATACTTGTAGATGTTTGTTGCTTTCTTTTGTTTAATTCATTTTATTTATTTTCAACATGAATCGTCCACTCTCGGAGCTATACTTACAAGTGAAGATTTATTTATTAACTCAATATCCTGCTGATTAGGATATTGAAATTATGCCTTTTCTTCTTGAAATTGAGTGATTATTATAGATATAGTATAGAAGAAGAGAAGATTTGCGGTCCATTTCTTGAAAAAACCTTTCTATGTTCAATTTCATTTTAGTTTCTAAGATAAACACACATTTCAAACCCATACTTTCTGGAAAAGTTGGGAAATTATTCCTTAATTATTCTAGTTCAGGATATGTAATATTTTTGAGTCTTTTCACAAAGATGTTGCCTCTAACGTCTTCAATCTGCTGAGTATTTAATGTTAATCTTTGATATCTGCAAAATAGGTGCCCTTCGAAAAAAATTAAAAGGAATGGTTTGGAAGTACGTATTGCCGGTTTGGAAGTAGAGTGTAAAAAATTTAGCAAATTTATGATATCTTTTCTATTTATTTCCGATTATTTTATCACCAATTTAAGACATTTTTTATTGTTAGAAAATTTCGATTTTTTTGGCAGAATATACTATTTCGATAAAATATATGTCATGTTAATAAGGTTGAAACTGCTGTAATAGAAGCCCTTTGAATGATTTGGAAGCAGCCTACATTCAGGGATGTATAAATACTAGCTGGGAAGAAGATATACATATATATTTAGCGAAATTTAAGTTATATAAATATAAATATTAAATGAAAGGGACTTTTTGCGGCTTAAGCGGACAGATAATTTTTGGAATAAGAAAAATTATGTCGAATCACAAAGGTAATTTCTATTTTGCTTTTTCTGTAATATTTCCTGTAAGCATGCTCTCACTTAATTAATTCTGTTAGTGTTGAAATTAACACAAATCCAAGCCCGCGCTACTGAATATGCCGGCAAGTGCGTTTTCCATTTCATGTGGTTCATTTTGTAATTAATTGTAAATGGAAACTACTTATCGATCGGAAAGGATCTTGTGTTGGTCGTGTCTCATTCAGCTTGTTTGGAACAAACAGGAAACACCACATAATAGGTCGAAATCGAATTTGAAATGTATCCAGCCATGTTTTGTTCAAATGTCGCAGTACAACACCAAATAATTGAAAAGGCCGCATTCCCAACGATGTAATGTTGCAAATAAATGAGAAAACTGTTCAATCAAAGGATTCAATCACGTGAAATTTATTATCATAGGTCCTCTTCAAAGGAAAATGTATTAGAAGAAAATCATCACTAAAATCGATAAATCTACATAAATATTCCAATTTTATTGCAAATTTAGCACCCTCGATAAATAAACCTATACTTTTTTATTAAAGATTCAATTAAAAATTATGATCAGTTCTGTATGTATTTTCAAGATGCGCCTAGGCATATTTTGGGAAGAACACGAGATCTTATTCACCAATTCTTGTGTTTATATCGAGAGCAGTATTTTGGGAATTTATGTTTTAGATACTCCTCCACAGATTTATGTAATATACTTAAAAATATCATGGTTGTATTAAAGATCATTTTTAGTAATGGCATTTGCAAGTGCGTAGGGGCAATTTTAAAATAAACAATTTACTCGAAAGTCTGCTCAAAGGAAATTGGCATTTTAGTTTGAAAAATGCAAATCCGATCTTTTACGTGATACGATCAAGTTGCGAGTGTACATTATAAAATAACAAAGCTTTAGAAAACTTCTTAACTAATATTTCATGTTCGACCAGCAGATTTTCAAATAAATCTAAATTAATAGATGTACCTAAGTGTTTTTTCGATAAATATATGATTAGACTGATGGCCTAGAACTTCTTTTTTTGAAAAGTCAGACATGGGTAGGTCTACATAATTAATGCCGGTCATCGTTATAATGCCATTTACATGAGTCGCAGTGTTATTTCCGCAAAAGCGACATCGATTTTCTAGCTATTATCCACAAATTCAATGATTCAGACTATCAACCTACATTGTCTTATTGTCTAAACGCGCAGAGACGTACCTACTTTACTCGAAACAATAGATTAATCCTTTCTTATTATTTTCTTAAAATTTATCGCGCATTGTTATACCTAAAGGGATTTATTATTATTAATATAACTCAATTTAGTTATAGAGTGGAGTGGTAAGTTCTGAAGGTTTTTAGCAGTTTTTGAATCCGCAAAATCTTGTGCAGAATAGAGCTTTCTTAACTACTAAGTATTTACTATGTAGTACCACTATAATGTTCATTAAAAATGAAGGTCTGTTTGAACCGATTGTGTTGCTACAATGAATGAATGAATTGATAGCTTTTAAAGACAAAATAATGAATACTTTAAAATGGGCAGAACATTTACGAGCTGCAGTACTGACGTTTCTAGAAACTACACTTTTTCTGTCCCGCTTTCTTGAAAAATTTCTATAACAAAAATCCGTTTTTTATAGCAAGTACTAATGTTTCTTTAGTTTTGGATTACGTTCATTAGAGCACAAACATTTTTAGTTTAGGTTAGTTAATAGTTCAGTTATAAAAAAATCAAGAAGCAAACCAGCATGTTGCATAGACGGGAAAAAATTTGTTGAACCGACTGAAGCTCGATTTTTTCGCGGCCCTAAATTTATAAAACCGTTTCACTCAATTTCAAGTTGATGAACTAGAACCTGACTTAACGTATTCTGTTGGAAACACCCTGAATATCAGTAGCATTGTGTTCAGATCAGTTATAGATTAAGTTTTTGATGATTGTTTCAGGTACTTCCAAATGATCCAAAAGCAAGACGACTCTTCGTTACATCTGGGGGATTGAAAAAAGTTCAAATGTTAAATGCAAAACCTGGCACGACGTTAATGGAATACATCACAGTGATAAACTCCTGTTTTCCTGAAGAAATTGTCAGATTTTACTCTCCAGGTGAGTTTGTAAATAATATGTATTTACTAAGTTAAACTTTACAACGATACGTACCTGCTTAAGATCTAAGTATTGTGTGACCTTTAAAAAAGAAAACTCCCGCTTGGCGCCTGCTCTTAAGGCATTTGAAAACACGATTAATATCAATTTCAAAATGAGCAAATATTCGCAACATTTAAATAGTACAGTCACGTTCTATAAAAATTTGTTTTAATCTGTCTCATTTCCTAATAGACAACATTTTCAATAAGTTCCATTCTTTTCACTATTTGCTTCATGAAGTCTTGTAGTTGATCTTTTCCATCAAGAGATATTTTCCTTGTTATTTCAGCTTGTTCTGATTTCCAACTTCACTCAAGCATTTTATTTTAAAAAATTTTAGTCTCTCTTTAAAAATAATTTTTATTCGTATGTTGTTTCAAAATATGTGAAAATCCTGCACATAATCAACACATGGTGGTTACTCTCGAGACTCATGTTTGAAACATTTAAAGTTTCTTCTCGCCGCTTGTACAAATATTTCAGAAATTTGCCATAATAGTTATTTCTAGTTACTAATTCGTTTATCAGATTACCTTAATACTTTTTATTTACTGTTCTTAGTTTTTTTTTGCAATTTAAGATTCGATTTAGAGAACAAAGGTTTTCGATCATGTGGCAAATACACAAGATCTGCCGTTTTTTGCTAATTAAACTGCTGCTAACAGTAGATTTTTATTCGTTTACATTCCTCCTTCCGTTAGTTCCTAACATTTCTTCTATTTCGATTTCAGAATATTTATAATGGCGCCAACAACCTATTATGTTTTTGTTAGGTATCACTCTACTGTATTCGTTTTGGAGACTCAACTTCAAAAGCTTCCTTAGCACTTCTGAGCCATGGTTCATTTTTCAAATAATGCTCATTGCTGTTTCAAATCTTGTCAATCTGTTTTCGTACCCTTTCCAATGTACTTTTGCGCCCGTTGTTTAAAACATTTTGTTCAATTCACAGCAAAACTTTCTTCGTCACGAAGGTAATTGGGATCTGAAGTCATCAAAGTCTGCAGCCACAGGAAATTCTTCCAGGTTTTCTTTCTAAACATAAAAATGTTTACGGTTCCTCCACTGCTTACGTCCTAATTGATGACGCCAGACTTCTATTGACTCGCCATTCTGTTTTGTGCTACGTTAATAACAATTTCTTTGGCATAACTCACTTTATAAAATCGCCATCTGCTCACAATCTTGTAGCGATGACACGTTTTGTAATTGTTCATTGTAATCAAATATTGGTGCAACATTTTTCCCGACAATCGTTTTCAAGTTATTTCATTCAATATTAATCCAGAAGTATTTTCAAGTTTTCATATTAACTCAAAGATAAGAAGACTTATAGATATATACCTTCAATTAACTACTTCTTCGCTACCTGTTGGATTGTCACTTTTAAACACACCTTGTCTTTTTGCAAGATTTACCACTAAATTCACATATTAATACTTGAAGTCAAATTTCCCTGCCAAGTTATTTTAAATTTTGAATGAAATAACTATTTTTCCATTAATGACTTTAATTTACCTTACGATGCTTTTCGTAATATGCTTTTAACTAACTAAGTATTATTATTTTTGAAACTTTGCTTATAGCTGAGAGGCAAAAACGTCTTGACAAAAATATTCTACTACACGGTTGAATAAAGCTCAAACACAATAATAATTTCATTTACTTAGATTGAGCACCTCTTCTAAAACTATTGTGTTATTGAAGACAAATTATCAATCTGAGAGAGTCAGAGAGTAAATTTCAATAGTTTCAAATAAGATGCCCTCATTATGTATAGTTATTCTATTCAGGATACCCAGACAGTTTGCTAGACAAAGTGGAACAGTATGCTCCCCAATTAATGACAGTTCTTCGTGAAACGGAACAAACTAATGAAGAAATCCAAACAGAGATAGTCAATGCGGTAGCTAAAGATGAGCTGAGCTCGGACTCTGATTCTGCGCACGCTGTTGCGGGTGCTGATCGGTCGTCGCATTAATTTACTTATGTACGTCCCTTAAATATTCACTTGTTATACACTATAACAAATTATTTTACAAATCGTGCTAAAATTACTTTGGTCAATAAAACGGAGTCAAGTAATCGGTTGAACGGACTACATTTATTTTGTGGATTCAGCACCTACTCAGAGTAAGTATTAGAGGTGCAATATTTTAGATAAGAGAGTATATATTTACGAGTAAACTCTCTGGGTAAACAATTAAAATGTTATCATACATTTGCGTTAATGTAATACATTATTTTATTGTTGATTCCTTTTTCGTATGAACATTATTTCAATGGTCTGAATGCGCTGATTCAGCTTTTCCAGACATTGTGGAAAAAAGAAAAACATATAGCTGTTACATCATTAGCCCTTCGCTTTATGGAAATAATACTCAAGAGCACGAAAATAATGTCTGAAGCAGGCAGTTATTTGAAGGTCTGAAAACTGTGATGGAAAAATAAAAAGCGTTATTCTCAATGTTCTAGCTTTTAATCCTTGGTAAAATGTCGCCACATTTAGCATCAATTTTTAAATTAATTAGTTTATCTGCTCGCGTTGATCCAATATTGACAATGCACACAGGTTTCTTCTCCTCGAGAGCTTGCAAAATTATTCTATAACCTTAGGGGGACATCATGTAATAGTTTATGAGCTACCATTATGCGAGCTACTTACCTGAGAACACTGAAAGACTTGAACCTAACACTAATATTCGGTCACTTAGAGAGACCTTTTCTCTCACAAGGTCTACTCTTTGTTTAGGTACATTGTCGCCAAAAAATGTTATATCTGGCTTTAAAACTCCTCCACATGTTTCGCATATAGGAGGAATAAAATCGTTCATAAAATCCTAGAGAAGATATAATAAATGTTAATTTTCATTTAATTTCGGATATGTTACCGATGCAATTTCCACATCTCCATCTGGCCGAATCATCTTTGTAGTTTCTTCAAAATCTATAGAATTATTTTCGAGCAGTTTTCCTTGGATGTAGTCACGGTCATATAGAGCATCGCACTTCAGGCAGATAACTCTAGAAACGTGATTCGTTATAGCAATTGATTTAGAAATAATAATTTTCTAAAAGTCTTTGCTATTTGAGCGGGATTCCCGACCGTTTAAAGTTCTTTATGTTTTCCACATATACATATTTACTGATCTAACGCAATTATTTAAGAGCTTTAAAAGAGAATAAGCACGTGCTAGTCTTATTCATGTTATAGAGAATGACGGAAAGGCATAATAGAAAACTAGTTAGTGTCGTTTACTGGTGAAACACAGATTTTTCTCTACTACTGACCTGATAAATTAATATGACTATGATTAGCATTCTTTTCTCCCTTTTTCTAGAGAAAAGCAATGTTTCTCTCCAAAAGTAAATTAAGTACTTACACGAACTGAGCTAGTCAATCTAAAAAAATGCTTAAAAATTGGTATACGAAGAACAAATTTAAGGAAACTGTGTATAACACCATAATATTTTACCTAAATAATATATTTTGTACTACTAACGATGTAATGAATTCTTACAAAAAATATTTCTTATTTCAGGCTACTGAAAATCTATTATGAAAGTCAGTAATAACAAAGACTAGACAAAAATAAACCTAAAAACATTTAAATAAATAGTCGGAGTAGTTACTACTGCTGACTTTCCGAAGTCTTTGCTTAAAATTAAGTTAACTATAAAATTTTCTGTTCATTTTTTTAAAATTAAGTACCCCACTTTGTAAATACTTCGGATGAGAAGGTATCTTTTTCAGGCCTCAGAATAAAAAAGTATCAGAATAATAATAGTTTATGCTTCGACCTAAGTATATGTATAAT